GGGGTACTGCTGGGCCAGGGCGGCGTCTGATACAGTATACGAATAATCCCTTCCAAATGTTTACCGTTTCTGTGACATTCCCTACTAAAAACGTAGCTATTCCCATAGTGCAGTGGGTATGAATGTTATGCAGCTGTAATACGAGTTAAAATTGTGAACTTGTAACAATCTACCAAAGTGTTGTGATGGCACCGAGTGTGATCTCTTTCAAGACCAGAATTGACTGGCACTGGGGCATGTTCAGATATATTCAGGAGCCAGTTCATTCCCAATAATTGCCAACAGTGTGTAACAGACGTAACAAGATCGTTCCGGCATAAATCCTTGCTAGCAGTCCTTTACAAGGTTGTTTCATAGTTGAGTAGATGTTCCATCATGGCATCTCTTATGATGCTTGCTAGAACTTTACATACTATGCTTGTCAGGCTTGCTGGTCTATAATTATTCCTAGAGTGACGATCGCCCTTCTTGAATACAAGACTCACTCAAGTCATTTTCCAGTCATCGAGGACCATTTGCTCATCCAGGCATTTGCAAAACAGGTTAAGGGGCTCTGCAAGCTCATTACACAGTTCTTTAACACTCTGGGGTGTACCATATCTGGACCGGGACTCGTGTGAATCTTCAGCTTTGACAGTTTATTTCTTATAACCTCATCTGAGAACACAATGTGGGTATTGTTGTATCAAGTGCTCAGCTCAAGCGTTCATAACACCCATTATCCTCAAAATGAATGCAACCATTGTACTTTACAAACTTTGTGAAATTCTCTACTCTATTAAGTTAGGAGTAAAATTATTAAAAAATAAATGTAATATTTAGAGTCCATTCTGAAAAATTTTACCTACGGTTAGTAATGTCTACAGTACAGTAGTAACTTCACTAACGTACACCTTTCTGTAGGGATCCTTTACAGGCCAATGGTCTTCTTCCTTTAGCAGGGCCACTTCTAGATGGGTGGCCAAAAGGTGAATTATATAGACTCCATTACTGCATGAGTCGGATAAGAAGAATTCCAGTGATGATCAATTTTATTTATTAAATGATCCACAGGTTAACTGTCAGTGATGATGTGACAAAGTACAATTGATATATAAAAAGATTAATAATGTTTAGTCTCTATGATACATGTTAAAAGAAGAAAAATATGCTCATGGTCCACTGATAACCTTTACAGTATTTGTGCATGAGACAATCAACAACTTTTGGTGATGAGAAAAAATGTCATCTAATTTATTACCATACAGTAATAAATATGTCTTGAGCAGATTAAATTTATATATGGACCTACAATTATCATACTGTAGATATATGATTGTTAGATTATATTTTGGTTAAGGGTACAGTAGGTAAGGTTAGACTGGGTTACATTTAGGTTAGGTTAAGTTTGCTTAGGTTAGGTTAGTGTGGGTTAAGATTAAGGAAGGATGGGTAAAGATTAGGTTACATTTGGGGTAGGTTAAGTTTGTTTAGGTTAAGTTAAGGATAGCATAGGTTAAGCTCAGGTTATGATAGGAAAAGTTCAATGTCTAGGTCTGGAAATTAGCAAATCCCACCTTTAAAACTTTTGGGTGAAGAGTGCAGTAATATGTTGTCACATAATTAGTACCAGCACCTGAACATTTACTGATGACAGTTTAAATATTTGGTTAAACCTTTAAAAAATTAATAACATAATAATAAGCACATTAAATAATTCCCAGAAAGTGAATACGGTACTCCTGTACAGGTACAATCGTCTATTTACATGTAAAGGATAACATCTCCAGCAATTAATGCTCTGGTTGAAATACAACTTGAATAATGATGCCAATTATAAGTTTGAGCTCAAGTGGTAATTCAATAAAATTAAGTAAAATTCATAAGATAATACGCTAATACTTTACTGAAATGTACAGGTTTTATGGGTAATTCCACAAACAAATAAAAGAAAAACAAAACAGGTATAGTTCATATATTACAAAGGTCGTGTTCAATTGAGACACTCATCAGCAGGAATTTTATTTACCTTCTTCATCTCTGCAACATTCAAGTTATAAGGAAAAAACAATTCACACAGAGGGTGGTGGAACAGTCTACCAGCCCAAGCTATGGAATCAAGAACAGTACTGGGCTTTAAAAGTGCCCTTGACAAAATTATCAAGATCAATGGAGGGACCCTACACAGGCCACCGACACCTTTCTTCAGCATGGCCACTTCTATTGGGTGGATATATATACTATATATATACAGCCACTCCTCGACTTACGGTGGGGTTCGGGACCTAAATCCAGTTCATAAGTCAAAAATGCGAAGATAATACATCGAAAATCTAAAATGGGTCTCTTTTTCTTATCAGTACCACAAAACTCTCACTTTTAAGCACGCCAGCCATTTTAAATGGAATTACAAACGAAAATTTTGTCAGTACACAGCGCAATCACTAGTGTTGGGACTCGAAAATACGTAATTTGAAAAAATTTTGGTACGACTGGGGCGGTCGTATGTCCGGGTGATCGTAAGTCGAGTAGGTCATAAGTCGAGGATCAGCTGTATATATATATCTATATATATATATATTGCTTTAGTTCCTGCAATTACTGTTCACCATCACAATTTCCACAATAGACAGACCAATTATAAATTCAGAAAATATTTTTTTCTAATACGCTTTTCAGCTTAAAGCAATTACTAATTAATTATTTATAATGTTAGTTAAGAGTGAACTGCTGATACAATGTCATGAAGATGTGAAGAGTGTTACGTGTGCTCTTAAGTTATCCTTCACAATACAGTACTTCAAATATTGCATGTTATATAATAAAGGTTACTTGGACCAGATGAAGCTGTGAACATCATTTAGTAATTTGCTTCCTTCAACAATGAAAGTCTACAACTACAGGATGATGATGATGATGATGATAATAAATAAATATATTTTTGTTACTACAGTATTTTAAACTTTTAACTACTTTCTTAGCAGGGTTCTGATTCTCAGTAAACATGTATTACTGAATATAACTTATTAATTATTGCTAACCAAGACACCTTCAGCTTTCAATGTGTTATACATTATATTATAATGGAAGATCAATACAGTATGGTAGAACTGACAACTTTTGGCAAACATCTATAGCTAACTAGTCAGCTTCTCTATTCCTTACAAACTTTTAGAAAGTTTATAGACTTTCTACTTTTAAAACATGGTTAACAATATAATTTCTTATACCGTAAAAATCAACACAAGAACCACTAAGGACAAATGCCGTCTGCTGTGATATCATGAAATTGGCTCTCATATGAGTGATTATACAAATTACCATAAAATTATTAGGTAGCTTAGTCATTGAAAGAAGATTAAAATAAGACCTTGCTATTGCACACATTTTATATATATATATATATATATATATATATATATATATATATATATATATATATATATATATATATATATATATATATATATATATATATATATATATATATATATATATATATATATATATATATATATATATATATATATATATGTGTATATATATATATATATATATATATATATATATATATATATATATATATATATATATATATATATATATATATATATATATATATATATATATATATATATATATATATATATATATATATATATATATATATATATATATATATATATATATATATATATATATATATATATATATATATATATATATATATATATATATATATGCATGCTGATAACCACCAGGAAAGAAGAAAACATGAAGTTCCCAAGCGCTTTCGTGTAATTCACATCTTCAGGGGTGAGTACAGACTAGAGAGCCACGCCCATTGTGGGATATATATATATATATATGGTATATATATATATATATATATATATATATATATATATATATATATATATATATATATATATATATATATATATATATATATATATATATATATATATATATATATATATATATAAAAGTTACAGGTATACAAATATTTCAGTCATCAACAAATATTATACAGTACTGTACCTACACTACTACTGATATTACAGGACTGTACTAAACTTTATACAGTATACTGTATATAAATAATGCATTCCCAGTTCATAACTATACATATTGAAGCTTGTGAATATCCAAATACTATACATGTGTTAGTTCTTGTAAAATAAATCTAATTTTTGTCACATATAAAGCTGGACAATGCATACAATATCTTCGTTCAACCAGATTCTCATATATCTCAACATAGCAGTGTCAGAGTAAGCAACAACAACTCTTCCAACATCTACAAAGTTTCCATGTAGAATTTACAGTAAATAAAAATTTTTATTTTCCATATTTGGTTTGGTTACATGAAAGACAGTCAGACAGGTCTCCAAATGTGATACCTTACCAGGTACAGTACTTGCCAACAATTACACACTGGATTACCTAAGACACTTTCCTTGTGCTTGAAATGTTTAAAATTAAATCCCAAATGTAAGTTTGAAAATAATTAGAATGGGAGGACTTACGTAGGCAAAGTTACCCAAACACAAGTCTACAGATCTTCATCTCTCTATTAAAGTCTGGTAAAGGTAGGGAGTAAAGAACCAATGTTATCATGAAGAAAAAAAAATAGCACTTTGAGGACGATGGTTTAATACAGTAAAGGTAATAATGGTTCTAGGACAGTTTGTCACCAGTTCAGTATAAGCCTAAACTCACCAAGGCTTCATTGCCTCCAAAATAAAGACATTATTATCTAAATGTAATAAATAAAACAATGTTCACCTGACTGGTGACAAAATATTTGCCCACCATAATAATACCACTTGCCAGGCAATTTCATTGAGGAGTTCCCAGATTCTTTAATAAGAAATTCTTTTACACTCAGCATTCGTATTTCTAATATATACAAGTAATCATCAAATACAAATTTTTAAAGAAAATCCTAACTTCAGTAAAAGAGTGTAGGAGAAATACTGGGTTTTTACTAATTAAAATTCAAGGATTTTCTTTTTTTCTATTAAAGTACAGTATTGTTGGTTTATTCTACTGACACACAATAACATTTGAACAACTCCCAAATATTGTATCAAGAACAATGGAAAGATCCTACACAGGCTAGCTCTAGTGGGTGGCCAATAAAAAATAAGGTAGGACAATATATTTTTTTTTCTTGTCTCAGTAGATTTCCACAAGTACATCATGTTCTATTTTATTTATAATATTGTTGAGGTTATTAAGTTTTAAAATGGGTCAGATACTCTATGGACATCCTGTATCACCTCAGTAACAACACCCAACTCTCTTCAACACCTCAGTGTTTTATAAACCTATCAATCTATTATCATTTCTTCTTCCCCACTTTTGTGGGGTCGATCATAGGTACTGAAATCTTATAGAAGGGGGGAAATAACAGGGTAGAGCGTCGCAGGACAAGTGTACAAAGTGACAAGCTAAAATAAGAAGAAAAAGCCATACATAATTGCTCAAATACCTTGAAAAAAATTTTCTTACATATACGTAAATACCTATACCTTAATTGATAAACTTATGAAAAAATGTGTTAACCCTTACGATGTATATGAACTTATTCATTCATTTAAGTGTCATATTAAGAAGGACACCACTACATTTGTGTGCCCCAAGAAATACTTAAATGTACATGAAAATCATTATCTCTCCATAAATAACTCCACAAATGAATATGATATCTTAGTTTGTCAAACTAATACACTGACTACCCCCCCTGTACATAGCATACTGTACAAGAAGAAAGAGCTTTCTGTAAATATGCTTTCCTCTGCATCACAGTATGGAATTGGTTACTTCAATATTATTGTCTCTCTATAACCATTCCCATTAAAATTTTTCTTGACTTTGTCATCGATCTATTTCTTTATTAAATTTATATCTCTCAAAATTCTGTGTGGGAGATCATGGGGTAACATTTGCTATAGAGAAAGAGAAATGATAGGAAAGAGCAGTGCATGACAATTGCAGAAAATGACAGACAAAGGGAAGCAGATTCCAATTTCCTCCAATACTGGATGAAACTATCAATTTCTTGTATTGTATTCAATTAAAAACTATTTTGCAATGCCTGTCAAAAGTGTTTCTTATTCACCCAGTGACGTTAAAATATTTTGACTCCTACAACATGGAAGCCTTGCCTCAGGTTTCTCACTTTCTTATTAATGTGGTGTACCTGCTGGTTATTTCATTCTACATGCTGTCTGATTGGTAAATTGTACTGCATACTGACAACTGAGCTTTAGTGTTAATAAGAAAACTTGAGTGAGAAGTAATGACATTATGCACATTTGTGACTGTCTATCAGTACAGTATTGCATTTGAGTAGGTAAATGAAATTCACTGTTACAAGCAAATGTGACAGAAGAATAATGGCATCATACTCTTGGCACTGGATCTGTTGACTGGTTTATATCTTACCTTAACAACAGGAAACAAATATAGTCCTAGGATCATTGGTCTTCCTTTGATATGTACATGACATGCCTGATAAGATGTGACAGAACATGGGAGGCAACATGTAACCTCTAGATACAGCTCACAAAAACTAAGTGGAGAGGCATTGATAAGAAGGGCAATGGGCTAGCATGTAGCTCAAAAGTAAGTTAGTGAAGATCTTTGATCCAATTACATGTGCAGTATACTTCATAGTCACAGTCTAATATTAATACTGGCCAACAGCCTTTAGTTCTTCCTTTGTAGTTTACTTGTTCCATCCAACTTTATTACTCTGTTTGTATCATAAATATCTGAATGTATCAATGGGTCTTGTGTAAAATTTTGGCTGCAAACACCATTAAAGTATACCAAGCACCTGTGCAGTTAAGGTATTTCTAAATGTGTGAGTTCATTACCTCATACGAGCCGATAAGTGGTGAAGAGGATAAAAGTAAAAGTATATTCATGTTTGTGCTTACTGACACATATTTTGACTGAATGAGTATACTGTACAGTACCTATACTGTACTCACTTTTTTTCAGTGTGTTGTGTTTTTCACCTCACACATTAGCTTAATGTCTGAAAGCACAAATAATGAGACCAATAGAAAAATTTGACAACAAAAATTACTACACTACAGGGTTAAGTTGTTTTTCAGTGAGTGTTCCTTACCTCACAATAATGAATTTATTACTATAAACCACCACCACTGCGATCCACAGTGATTTTCTTCCTTTGGTCCTCTTCTGCCATCTCCGCTAACTGAGCAAAGCGTGAGTGAGAGATGGACCCAGCTTTGATTGCTGCCATCATCTGCATCAATAAGATCATGAAGTTAGTAAGAGATAAGTGGGACCACAAATTGCACTTGCAAAGATAAGATGGCCTACAATGTGCACTTATAAAAAGATATTGGGCTATAATATGCACTATTGCAGATAACTGAGGTGACAATGTACACTAGCAAAGATTAGCGAGACTATACAGTCTCTCCTTGACTTACAACGGGGTCATAATTCGAAAAGGCGAAAATAATACATAGAAATTCTAAAATGGGTGCCTCTTTTTCTTCTCAGCACGACGAGAACTCTCACTTCTAAGCTTGCCAGCCATTTTAAAGGGAATTAAAAAAAAAAAAAAAAATTGTCGGTACACAACGCGATCACTAACGTTGGATAAATGGAACAAGTTACCAAATATCATCATTAACTCAAATACGCTGAATTGCTTCAAACATAGGTTGGATGCTCATATGAGCAATAGGGGTTGGGTGTAAACGGTGTATGGGCCAATAGGCCCGCTGCAGTTTCCTCCATTCTTATGTTCTTATGTTGGGACTCAAAAATAGTTAATGTGAAAAATATTTTATACGACCATGGCCGTCGTATGTCCGGGTTGTCGTTACGTAACGTGAAAAATATTTTATATGACCATGGCCGTCGTATATCCGGGTTGTAGTAAGTTGAATATATTGTAAGTAGAGGAGAGACTGTAGAGTGCATTTGCAAAGATGTGTGGGGTCACTATGTGCACTTGCATGGATACAAATGATTGAGATTATTAAAAGTTAAATATACGTACCTGTATTAAAGTAACTTTTGATATAAAGAAAAGTTTGTACTTGTACTTAAGAACAGAGATTGAATAATGCAAGTAACCTGGCAGTTGAAACATCTAAAACAAAATCAACAACAATAATGCAAGTAACCTGGCAGTTGAAACATCTAAAACAAAATCAACAACAGAGTAACTATGTAAAATGGAAACTAAAGCTATGGTATCTACCAGTATATGTACTGTACTTATTAAGTACCCATACCATCTTCCACAACTGACCTACTGGCTATATACTGCCCAAACTTTTGAATATCTAGAAAGCTCCCAATTGATTACAACTGCATGAAGAAGTTGGCTGGTTCATGTGAGCTTGTAGGAAAGGAGTACCCATGCATACGAGAATGCATTGGTTCATTAGCTAGAACTGGGCTGGACTGTCAATAGGTCAGTTCTGCAAGGTGTCAATCCTGGGTCAGGTGGGATACCAAAGTCAGGTACCTTGTTATGAGTTTGTTTATTAGTAAAGTGTGGGTCATTCCATTTCAGATCAACAGACAATTGGAAAGTAAACTTGAGATCTTCAATTTAAGATGAAGTTTATTTGCTGTAAAGGCTTACCAAAGAAACTTTTGTACCTACTGTACTGTCAGCTTCAACGTTTAAAAGGCTTTTGAGAGATGATCTTTCACAATTTTTAATTTATCCATTTTCATCTCCCCCTCAGCACACTACTACAATGGGTCTACCCTCTCAAGTAGAATATAATAAGATGTAGCAGACAACTTAATGACACTATGGTGTGTTTAGGCACAAAAAAAAAATACATTAATCAATAAGAAAATTCTACAATGAAGATGCATATACTGAAGAATACTACGGAATGGTTCTGGCTGTCACATCCCTAGCAGGCATTCAAAGATGAATTAATGATGATCAAATTAGGCAACTTAGGATGCACAAATAAGTGTTCAATTACAGAAGAAGCAATGAAGACATAACTGCACTAACAAACATGAATACAAAATGAGAAAAGGAAGACAGAGAGGTACCAGGAAAGAATTAAAAACAAAAATAAAATAAAAATCAAGGAAAGAAACACAATGCAGACAATGGGAACTGAAGCACACTAGAAAAAGGAAAAAAGAACTGAGAAAATGAGAACAGACAGGCCCTAGTTGAGGAAATAAGAACAAAGAAAACAAAAGTAAGGAACTGGTAAGTGAAACATAAAAGGAAAAGATGGAAAAGTATAAACCATTAAAAGGACATGACATTGTAAAAGTCCAGACAACTAAAGTATATAAATTATTATCAACCCATTAGAGTACAGAATCTGCTATAACAAGTGGGTTAAAAACTAAGAGCAGGGCTACACAGTACTGAAGTACAGTAGACTTGATAATCTGAAGGTCAGTCCCCAACCTCTGGAATAAATGAGTCTACTGTACTTGAATTAACATTACTAAAGGTCTTGTATTAATGTTAACTCAAGCATCATAATCATAACTATGATCTACAGTATATAAATTGCATTCCTGACAGGAGTTACAGATGCTGTAATAGAATGGATATATGTACATAGTCACCTGTAAATATTCATCAAACTCCACCTGTCCATTTAGATTAAGGTCGATCTCCTTCAGAATCTCATGAAGAGTTTCTCCAGGAACTTCCTGGCCTCTTGCCTGTAGTTAAAGAGCATCCCAACATGAACTTGAGGACAATCCATCACTTGATGGATACATTACAACATGTGTTATATATAAGGGCACAAACCCTGTTTCCCAGCACTCACCAGCTTTTTATGGAGGAATATTATGTACAGAGTACTGTAGATAGATGCAAAGATATATTAGATGTACTTTCCAGTAATATTTTTGTTGGTGTTAATCGAGAGCCATCAAGAAGGTTTGATTAAATGACACATATTAAGGCTGTTGGTTTTATATCTAATGTACAGTTGCGGAAATGCGTTTTTACACCCCCTGTGGTAACCTGTGCCTCCAAACGACAACGCTGCTGTAGTAGTATCACTGTTTATGAATGAATGGGTATTGGTCGTGTAGCAGCACATTCATGTAGAAATGTTTCCCTCGATTTTTTTTTTACTCATGATTAGTTAGGCATGGATCAGATGTAAAATCATTTATTTGTGCTAATGAAGTAAAAGGCACTGTGCAAACTAAATTGTACAGTATCTGAAAAGAAAATTAATACAGGTACTGGATGAGTAAGTTATGTATCCTCTCAATTTGTTTCCAATATCTAATATTTTACCTGGATAAAATCTGGGAACTCGACTTGACCATGTTTGTGGACATCAACCTCTTTCAATATCTCGTGAAGCTGGTTTAGGCTAACCCTCTCTCCATCAGCCTAAATGTTATGGAAGTGCAAAAGTCATTAAATGTACTGTATATGTAACTAATGCAGGCTTGTCCAAAATTTTGAAAATGTAAAACACAACCTTTGAGCTGAACTAAAAGAGATGTCTTAAAACTAGTACAGGTATAATAATTTAATACTGTATACTATAACTAATAAGAAAACATTTCAGTATAACCAATGAAATGAAAATTTTAGTATACAGTATGTCAATGTGTACAGTACAGAGTACAGTACTGTACTGAATAATATATTTGACAAAGTAACTGAAACCAAACCTAAACACACTGAAATTATTAATATTAATTTCATATGTATCACAGGGACTTAAGGATTAAATACAAAAATAAATTTATAAAGACTACAGTAATAAAAAATATGGAAAACTTTTATACAGTATACGGTAATACTGTAAAGATATATTTTAGAAAATTATAAATTCCTCTAAGTTCACAGGTATTAATAGTAATGTTGACTTTCACTTTAATCTTTTCACGACTGACTAGCCTGTTAGCTGATTGGTTGGTTGGTCATGTCTCTGTTATGCAGAGTACTGAGCACACAATGACAGTTAGTATGAAGCATATGATATTCTCTTCTTTTTAGGACTCATATTTAAATCACCTGTCCTCAAAATACTGCTCAGACACCTATTTTTATATCAGAATCTGATTTCTTATGTCTTAAACAATGTCTGCAGTGCAGTAAATATTCCAATTGAATTACCATACAGTGATCCCTCGGTTAACGAGCGCCTCGGTTAACGAGATTTCGGTTAACGAATTACCTTCCATAATATTCTTAACTTCGGTTAACGAGCAATCCCTCGATTAACGAGTTTTTAACGAGCACCCCTCCACATGTTTTCGCTTGCATTTGGCAGTCCACCAGCTGTGGTATTAGTCTGCCAATACAGTAATCGGTTCTAGGGCTTAAATTCCTTACTATTTTAGTAAATATCAAGAAGTTTGTACTACTGTATTCAATAATTTTAAAAGAGTTATATTAAATTTTTTAGTAATTTTAACAATTATTGAACATAATTTAAGTATAGGAAGATAGTTTTTTGCACGCCAAACAGCCTGTCAACACACCATACAGGGGTCAGTCTGTGTCTTTTCAGTGGAGGTAACATCTTGCTTGAGACTCTCTTCAGCTAAATGCTTTTTTATGTGTTTCCAAGCAAATTATTGGTCAATTTGAAATTTATTTTACATATTGACAATATATAATGCAGTGCAGTGTTGATTTAAAGAAAATAATCTTGAATTACACCAAGAGAACTTAAATTTTATGGGTGAAATGGCACCATGGGGTGACTTGTCTTCCACCCCAATGCCTTCTCTTCTCCCTTCTCCTCCACCCCCATTCTAATTCCCATCATCATCATCATCCAGGAGCCTTCTACATACACACCTCATAGTAAGTGTACTTTACTACCTTTTTTGTTGATTTTAGGCAATTTTTGGTGAGCTGGAACCAATTACCCAAAAACCCATTGAAACAATGGTTTCGGTAACAAGTTTTTCGGTTTATGAGCAACCTTCTGGAACGAATTGTGCTCGTTAACCGAGGGACCACTGTACTGTACTTTCACTGTAAATTTTGAAGTCTACTTTTTTAATTTCTAGAAAATACTGAAGTACGGTACAATCCATCACACCACTTGAGTTATCTACATTAAATAAAAGGAAGCCTTATCTTCACCATACCTTGAGAGATGCTCTGAGATCATTGAGGGAAATGTAACCTTTCTTGTCAGTGTCAAGGGAGTTGAAGCGCTTCACATATTCTGATATCTCGCTCTTGGTAAGGTTGATGGGGATTTTCTCTCGCGATGCACGGTTCACATTCTGGCCCATTTCCCTCTGGAGGTAGTTGTTAGCTGCTTCCAACTGACTCTGTCAAATTGATGAAAGAGTAAGAATGATGTATACAACATATCCAGTACCTGTCAGATCAGCTACCAAGATTACAAGTGACAGAGCTAATAAGCAAGAAAGTGCATGATGCTCTAGTAAGATACTGTTATTTTGTCTACTTAAGATCATCGGGAGAGAATTATTGGGTAGTTTTAAATAATATTTTAGTAAAGTTACAAATAAAGTATACCCTGTAGAAGGATTCCAAGGGACACACTGGCAACATATCCTTACCATTTTCTGCCAAAGATCATGAAACTTTAAAGTTATCTTCTTAAAAGTTATCTTTAATATACAGTACAGTGTACTGTATATAACTCCTACACATAAGCTGACCTTGGTGCTTTAGGTTGGATTATGAGGTGCTATAATCATCACTGTAATCTGGGAGCAAAAATTTATGATTTGATAAAATAAATATATACAGTAAATACATATACAGTATGCTTACATTTTGAATAAACAAATTCTTTGATCAATAAAAAATATATAAAAATAGTTACAAACTTCCAGTAATAAATCAATTCCTGGGTAAAAACTGAACTCTTAAGATTGTGCAGTAATTACCTCTTAATAAAAAATACAGTATAATACCTTGCAATAACAGACAAAAATTACCTTTTTTTCTTTCTCAGACCACTTTAATTCTTCAGCCATAATGTTAACAATAGTTGGCAAGGCTTCCTCTGTTGCCTGGGCATTAAGGAAAGCTAATCGTAGTCTTCTGGCTATGACATCAACAGCTGATGCCGCATACTCACGACATGCGTATCGCACCTCAGCGTCAATGTATGGAAATTCACTGTGAAGACGACGACCAACTGGAACATAAATACTTGTAGTAAGAGACTGTACGTAGGAATTTAACTAAATGCTGATGTAAAAGGTCTATAGATGATATCAAGAGATGAAGAGGCTAAGGATCAACAGGTGCTCCTCTACTAAAGAACATTCAACTTACAAACTTTCAGAGATAGAAACATCATCACTGAGGGGGGGTTACCTGGTAGAACAGGTGTTTAATGTGGATGAGACTGGATTATTTTGAAGAAAATTCCAGATAGAACAAACATTACCTAAGAGGAGAAGAGTGAGCCAGGTTTTAAGGCTGTATTAAAGGGCATAGCTGTACTAAATATCCATAATCTTTTAATTTTTTACAATATGTTTGGTATCTACAAGAGTAAAGTTGGACTTACAAACAAGCCTCTGGAACGTAACTCGTTCGTAAGTAGAGGAGCACCTGTAATTAAAACATATAAAGAAAAAGGCCAAAACCGATAGTGATCATCTACTGTAGTGTATAAAGAACTGATAGATGAAGAAAAGAATACTGTATCATATCAACCACACCTCTATGTTACAATCAGTAAATGGAAATTACTTCTCTACATAGGTACTGTAGTCTAACCTCTCATTGCTTCAAGGATAAAAAGTCAGATACCTACCAATTGGCCAACGCTTTCCAGTGAGAGAGGCCAGCTTAGCCACACTAAACGCTCTGTCACCATAGGTTTGTGCTAGGTGCTTGGCAACCTCTGACTCTAACCCGAAGTCCTGTACAAGGCGAATGAACATTGTGGGAGTCCAGTAGTGTGCGCCCTCCAACAGAAGGCCATCTGTCTGAGATTCTTGGTGAACTGGTGTTAAATCACAACCTGAGAACAAAAATATGTAAATAAATTACCTGAAGTGGCTAAAAAAGCAAGAGGAGATGCATGAATGCAATATACAGTAAAGTAAACTCTCCAATCACTGCACTCAATATAAAAATTACTGCCAATGAAGTGTTTGTTAACTATTTGGCTGCAGTGAAACACAGTGATATACAAGGATCACCACACAAACATTCAAGAGTGGCAATATTTGTTAAGGTGTATTGTTGTGATGGACTGTTCACAAGATTACACAATCACTTACACAATTATTCCTCAAAAACTAACATGACAGCTTATAACTGGTAAATACTGGTGTAATTAGAAGTAAAAATTGCTTCCTATTACAAAATATCTGCAAACAGCAATAATCGCATACAATGTCACTGACTTAGAAGTTTGAAGCAGAGTGAACAAGAACTTAAGTAAAGAGCTAAAAATTCAAACATGGGGGACCATACACTTAAACCTCCTGTGGTTATTCCTGATCAGATTTTTCATGTGTACCAGTGTAACAACCACCAACCTTTAATTGCTGCATCTAGGGTATCTAATGCCATTGAGCGATAAGTGGTCCACTTCCCTCCTGCTACTGTCACTAGACCAGAGTCACTGATGTGGACAATGTGATTTCTTGCAATGCTTTGAGTGTCAGTCTTGTTAGGATCTTGAACCAGAGGTCGGATGCCAGCCCACGCTGACAACACGTCCCCTCGCCGTACCTGATGGTGTCAAACCAAAATAGACAATTAGTTTATAGGATACTATAGTCATTTATAGACCTCTAGACAGTATAGGGTATCTGTGGTACATATGCATTTTGAGAAATGCAAATGGTTGAACAGACATAAAGGCAATGTGAGAGGTATAAATGTATGAGGTAAATGAGAAATTTTTGATTACTGTCCAAGTTGATGCTCAAAATTAACAAATCTAAAGTACAAGATGCAAGTGCCCGTGACGACAATCAAGAGACGTGACCGTTCAACCGGGTCTGTCCCTAAAGATCCATTCGAATTATTGGTATAGAATATAACTAAACCAGGATCTAATTGAGAGAAAGTAAGGGCATAAAATTCAGAAAATACAATAATATATATGAAGCAAGTATATACAGTCAGTTCTGCTATAACGTGATAGTTGTGTTCTTGTAAAACATCGTGTTATAGAAATTCGCGTAATACAAATAACAGGGCTTATGGAGAAAATAGGGCTAGGTGCAGATTACTACTCGAAATCAAAAAAAATTTAGTAGTTAGTCTAACACAAAGGTTAGCACAGTCTAAATAAATGTTGCATTCATATCTAATAATGAAATCATACAGTAAATGTAACACTTTACCTTGAAAAAATATGAATATAACTTGATGGGGGAGAAGGGTGATTTTGAGGTGGATAACATCGAGCTTCTCTTCTAGGGTTATAGCCTTTCTTTTACTATCATCACCGGGAATGCGATCACCAGAATGCTTCTTGGAGATATTCTTCTTTACCATATTCACAGTTAATACCACAAAATTGGAGAAATAGTTAACAAAAATCGCGTTACAGCAAACAAGCGTTCGCGTTATGCAAATATCGTTCCTCTATTCATAAATCGCGTTAGAGCCAATTCGCGTTGTCAAAACACGTGTTATAGCAGAACTCACTATAAATATAGAAAAGAAGAATAAATAGAATAAATATGAAGTAGGAAAAAATAGACCCTTCAAATAGTGGCAGGGGTGGGATAATTAGCAGTAATATAGTTATCCCATGTTGAGTATTAACCTATAAATATTGATATGACCAGTTTGTTATGAGTTGTGAGTACATTCTTCCTATGTACTACCAACCGCATCCTAGTTAAAGTACCATGTTGCAACAATTGTAAGGGTCTGTTTTTTCCTACTTCCTATTCCTTCTTCTTTTCTATACTTTATTCCTTCTGTCATATCCCGGTATATTATTGTATTTTCTGAAATTTATGCCCTTACTTTCTCTCAATTATATCCTGGTTTAGTTATATTCTATACCATGGATCAGTCTGGGAAAACCATATCATTCTTACTATAATATATATTGTACTTATCACGGTAGCCTGCCACCACCCAGACTTTTCTTAGAATACAACATATCTCATTGAACTGTTAGGTAACGTGCTAGCGAGCTTCTAGGCACGCGAGTTACAATAGTTATTTTCTGAGAACCAATGGGTAGAAAGAAGAAATAGAGCGGTGATACTTGTAGTTTACAAATTCAATATTTATTAACATAAGGAGTGAACAAGATGTGAATTAAGTACACTCAGACAAGACTGGACCACTTATGTCTTACTTTACACATAGCAAAATAGATCTTCATTTCTTGGTTACAACATTACACACTCATTATAATATTAAATTGTCAGTTTAACTTAAGCGGTCAATTGAACCCAGAGGGTCCCGTGTTAAGTGAAAACCGCGTTAAGTGAATAACAGAACATATGGGATTAATTCCAATAGAACCCAGCCCGACCCCCAAACTCCACTTTTTGACGACAAATAACTATGTTGTAGTAAAAATAACATCTTAATTTTATGATGGTACATGCACACAATTAATACTTAAGAGAAATAGAGAAATACAGTCGCCAAGTTAATGTCCATTCAAATAATGGACTCAACTCCCTCCCCCTCTTCTCACACTACACTCACTGGCTCTTCCCTCTGAGAAATTTTTGGGGGAAAACCAGGTATAGTAATAAATAATTCCTCAAACTAAAGTTAGGATAATATAATTGACATTGCTGGATTCCTTGTAAGACCAGGAATATTTTGAATATAAATGTCATATATTTTTCACAAAAGATAACATAATTACCTAGAGAACAATTTTTATCTAAAAATTGTATGTTTAATGCAAAATATATGTTGTTTATATTCAAAATGATCACCAAATTATAAGAATTCCAGCAATGTAAATTATATTCTGGCCGGATAATTTGTATGAATTTTATGAGCTAAAACAAATATCTACAGTTAATAAAAAAAAAAAAATATTCTTCAACACTATCTGTCAATCAAAGTACCCCACCTTGCCTCCCCCCCTCTTCCAACCGCGTGGTCAGTCCCAACCCTCCCCCCACCCCCCACCAATCCTCCATTCAAGAGTTTTTAACATTTAGTATTAAATAATACCTCAGATTAAAGTTAGGATAATATAATTGACATTGCTGGATTCCTTGTAAGACCAGGAATATTTTGAATATAAATGTCATATATTTTGGACAAAAGATAACATAATTACCTAGAGAACAATTTTTATCTAAAAATTGTATGTTTAATGCAAAATATATGTTGTTTATATTCAAAATGATCACCAAATTATAAGAATTCCAGCAATGTAAATTATATTCTGACCGGGTAATTTGTATGAATTTTATGAGCTAAAACAAATATCTTCAGTTAAAAAAAAAAATAATTCTTCACCGGGTAACAGATGGTCGGTCGGTCGGTCCCTCCCTCTCCCCCCCCCACCCCCCACCAACCGTCCCAAGGAGATGTGTGGGATAACCACTAAATTTTAATAAATAATACCTCAAACTAAAGTTAGGATAATATAATTGACATTGCTGGATTCCTTGTAAGACCAGGAATATTTTGAATATAAATGTCATATATTTTGGACAAAAGATAACATAATTACCTAGAGAACAATTTTTATCTAAAAATTGTATGTTTAATGCAAAATATATGTTGTTTATATTCAAAATGATCACCAAATTATAAGAATTCCAGCAATGTAAATTATATTCTGGCTGGGTAATTTGTATGAATTTTATGAGCTAAAACAGGCAGTCAGGCAGGGTGGCGGGTGGGGGGTGGTGCGAATCTAAAAATAGCTCTCGAGCCGGACACTCACCGCGTTGCTGTGGAAAAATCCGCGTTAAGTGAAAGTTCAGCTTTGGCAAGGCACCGCGTATATGCAAACGCGCTTAAGCGCCAAGTAAGCGCTATGAAAAAGCGGGGTAATACTGTACATCAAGATTGTCTTAATACCGCATCACTAACCTCCACATCTGGACTCAAGTAGTTCTTCACTTCCTGGAGAATAAACTGGATGTCATCTTCAGTAGGAGAGGGAGTGTGTGAAACAGAACAGGGGGTGTCAGTTGTACCTGCAATGGTGCGTCCCTCCCAGGGCAAAAAGAAAATGACTCTTCCATCTGATGTGTTGGGGTCTAGCAGTCCCATTCGTTCTGGTGAATAATAGTCGGGGAGAGTGATGTGGACACCCATACTTGGGGCACATATCTCCTTTGTTGCCTGGTTGTCCATTTTACGAATTGTGTCTGTAAATGGTCCAGTAGCATTAATTATACATTTTGCTCGAACTGTTAACTCCTGTCCAGTCAGTTCATCTCTGACTTTTGCACCACAGAGATGTTCTTGTCCATTCTCATCTTTTTCTTTTTGAAGAGAAACTACTCTTACATGATTGGCAATTGTGGCACCAAGTCTTGTAGCCGTGAGAGCTATGGAGAGGTTCATTCTGGCATCATTGTGCTGACCATCATAGTACACAATTGCTCCAACCAATCTGTCCCTCTTTAACATAGGAAACAGTTCCAGTGCACGTTCTTTACTGATAGCATATGAACTCTTAATGCATTTACTGCCAGCAACTAGATCATACATTTTGATACCTGCCCAGTAATATGGAAGCTGCCACCATTTATAAACAGGTAACATGATTGGTAGAGGGTAGGATAAATGAGGAGCAATATCAAGTAAATTTGCCCTCTCATGAAGGGCTTCCTTAACCATCTTGTACTGCTCCAGGTCCAGACCCAAGATTGCTTTCTGTAGGTATCGAACTCCACCATGAATGAGCTTTGTTGACCTAAAAATAATGAGACATTAGATTAAGTCACATAAAACCCCCAAAAATTTGCTTTGCATAAAAACATAAAGTACTGTATGCCATACATCAACAAAATAAAAAATTCAATGATTTCATCATTCGATACAAATTTTGCCTACTACTACTGTATACATCTTTATTCTAAAAGATGAGGCAGGAGCTGTCTAGTTTAAAAGTGGTTATCTCATTTAGATTTTATACATGAAATTAAAACTCATAGTGATAATCTACACAGATTCTGACCAGGTCAAGGTGGAGGTGTTGAACAGATTATTTTCCTCAGTGAACACAAGAGAGGATGTGAACTATCTTCCTGCATTTGAGGACAGATGGTTTGACACAGTGCTGACCCACAGTGTGTTCTTAGAAGAGGGTGTAAGAAATAAATTGTCAAAGCTAAATGTTCATAAGAGTCCCAGCCCTGACATGGTGCATCCCAGAGTGCTAAGAGAATTGTGCAACGAGCTTGCTGAGCCCCTGAATATCCTGTTATGTAAATGACTGGATGAGCAAATGGTCCCAAGTGATTGGAAAATGGCTCATGTGAGTCTTATATTCAAGAAGGGCGATCATCACTCCACGAATAGACCAGTGAGCCTGACCAGCATAGTGTGCAAAGTACTCGAGAATATTTTAAGAAATGCCATGATGGAACATCTACTATGAAACAACCATGTAAAGGACTGCCAACAACTAAATTCTTGAACAGGGTGTCAATATCGACAATACTGTATGTACCTAGATTTTGCCAAGGCTTTCAACAGCGCGAAATAGTCAGATGTACCCGTGACAAGTGGGTACCATAGGGCATTAGGGCAGTGTACTGGGCTCGTTGTTGTTTGATTGTTTCATAAATGACATGCCAGAAGCTATACACTCCTCCACACAAATGTTTGCAGACGATGCCAAGTTATCCAGGGAAATTAAGATCCAAATAGATTGCGAAGAGCTGGCGAGAGATCTCTGAGCTTCAAGAGTGGTCGAAGAAATGGCTGCTAAGATTCAATGTCACGAAGTGTAAGAGGATGCATTTGGGTCATACCAACAATAAGGAGGTGTATGATATGTCCCAAGAAGATAAAGAAACTGCATTAATAGAGACTGAATGCAAAAAGGATCTGGGTGTGTGTTGAGAATAAACTGAAATTCTCGATCCATCATGAGATGAAGGTGATTCAAGCATCTAAGGTCGTTCAGATATCGTAACGAGCTTCAAGAGTGATGTGCTTCCCCATCTGGTCCCCGAGAAATGCTAGGAACTGTCAGTTGATTGAAAATGACCAAAGGAGGGCCACCAGACTGGTGCGTGCACTTCAGCACCACAGTTAACCAGAGAGATTAGAGAGCCTGCAACTGCTTAGCTTATACTACAGAGGGACAAGGGGTGACCTAATTGAGGTGTATAAACACCTATAAGGGCACTACTCAGCTGAGTGTACATACCTGGAACTGGGGGAACACCTGCCCCAGAAGGGGTCACAGCTCAAGGATGAAGAAGTTACAAGTTCAGATAACCGTGAGGGCAAACTTTTTCGGAGTGAGAATTGTGAACTCTTGGAACAATCTGCCAGAGAGTGTTGTGACAGCACTAAGTGTGAGCTCTTTCAAGACCAGATTTGATCAACACTGGAGCAGGTTCAGATACATTCAGGAGCCAGTGCATGCCCAGTACAGTGACCCTCGTTTAACGAACACCTCGGTTAACATAATTTCGATTAACGAACTGCCTTCCATAAGGATCTTCAATTCGGTTAACGAAAAAAAATTCGGTTAACGAAGTTCTTACGAACCGACCTCAACATGTTTTCGCTTGCACTGACCGGGCAACCAGCTTTAGTATCAGTCCGCCAATACATTAATCGGTTCTAGGGCTTAAATTCCTTACTATTTTAGTAAATATCAAGAAGTTTATACTATTCAATAATTTTAAAAGTTTAATATTCAATTTTTTAGCCATTTTAACAATTATTGAACATAATTGAAGGTAAAGTGACTAGTTTAATGCTCGGCATCCAGCCTCTTAACACAGCAAACAGGAGTTAGTCTCTCTCTGTTTTCACTGGAGGTAACATCTTGCTTGAGACTCTCTTCAACTAAACGCTTTTTTTCTGTGTTTCCAAGCAAATTATTGGTCATTTTGAAATATATTTTACATATTGACAATATATAATGCAGTGCAGTGTTGATTTAAAGAAAATAATCTTGAATTACACCAAGAGAGCTAAAATTTTATGGGTGAAATGGCGCCATGGGGTGACTTCTCTTCCACCCCAATGCCTTCTCTTCTTCCTTCTCCTCCACCCCCATTCTAAATCCCATCATCATCATCATCATCCAGGAGCCTTCTACATACACACCTCAAAGTAAGTGAACTTTTCTACCATTTTTGTTGAATTTAGGAAATTTTCGGTGAGCTGGAACCAATTACCCAAAAACCCATTGAAACAATGGTTTCGGTTAACGAACGACCTTCTGGAACGGATTGAGTTCGTTAACAGAGAGGTCACTGTACTTGCCAACAGTGCGTAACAGAGACGTGACTAACTGCCTAAGTGGCTAACGAGCCGATCAGTGACAAAGAGGATAAAAGTAAAAGTCATGACATATACCCATAGAGCAGGCCCATGAGATAATATCTGAATCCTGTACTTAGATGGCGATATTAACATGCATGATATATAATTGTGCTCTGGGGGAGGAGAAAAAAAGTGTCAAACAGCTTGAGATGTCTTGGTATTCTGTTCAAGAGGAGAGTTTGAAGATTATAATTGTACTGTACTTGCATAATAACCACATGTCAAGCATCTTTGTCACTTACCTTTTTCTCACCTGGAGCACCTCATCTCCTGTATTTACATATGACAGTGAGAGAAACAAGATTTTAAACCATCCTGGACTCCTGACACCCTCACTTAACTCTAATCAGTCTTTGTTCCTTAAATAGGGATGTGGTCTGAAAATTTCACTTTACACACACACACCTACCTTGAAGATGTTCCAGAGGAAAAATCTTCCATCTCAACCAGTGCTGTCTTGAGTCCTCTTGAGACAGAGTCAAGGGCACAGCCAGCACCTGTTGCTCCACCTCCAATGATAAGAACATCAAAAGCCTCAGACCCAAGACTCTTGAGCTGCTGTTCACGGGTCGGCAGTGGTCGTGTTGGTCTGGCATTTAGACTTTCTGCTGCCGCTACTCGAACAAACTGACGCTGTAAACAATGTATATTTTAGTATCATAATTCACATTAATTTTTTCAGCTTTAACCTTTTACTCTCCCATGCACATTGTATTCTGTGATCCAACTGTACATGTACCCAATATGGAAAATGTATTAAACAGCTGAGAAATATAAAGGTAAACACTGGCAGAAACAGGTTTATATCATCATTTAATGTTCTATACCCTGGGGTATAATTACATGTTTAAGCAACATAACTATCATATTTTGTATGTGACACATGTGTATCATCATTTAATTAATTTTCAATGCAAGTTACATCAGTCATAATTCATATCTGACATGTGTATGCCATCATTTCATTAATTTTCTATACCTGGAGGTATATGAGGTTAAGCAGCATTACATAAATTTTCTAAGTTGAAGTTTGATATAGTTATGGAAATAATTTTTATAAACACCATTGACAAGAAAGCTCCCTCACAGACATTGGTGCGTCCAAATTGTCCCAAAATCTTAATAACTCGATTTTTAACTGCTGAATGCATCTTTGATAAAGTAATCTAAAACTTTGCTATGTCATCAAAGATGTAAAAATTCACCCTTGCCTCGTTGTCAGCCTGTAATTCTGATATTTCAAGTGCAAAAGAGCCACACTGTTTTACATCTGTCTTTAACTGAAATTGAACAAAGTTAAAAGACTCAGTAAGCAACTCAGGGAATCTATCATTAAAATTTGCTGCTATTTTCTGTGTGCATCCATGGGAAATAGAGAGCTAACTGAGCTGAGAACAGCTCAAAGGTGGGAGTGTGGAATTTCTGTTGGGAAATGTGTTATCAGGTCAAGCCTGACTTAGACTGACCTGACCTGACACAAGGAGAGTTACTGAGTTGATCCCTTGACCATAACTTATGGTTCCTACTTAACGAGACAGCACCTGTTGGCCACGTCCTTCAGTCCTTGACACCTAGACTAAAAAAAACAAAAACATGGAACTGTTGCCAGACCTAGGTGATTCCAGCACACCATGAGCTGTATGTATCCCCATATGATGCGTCTTGCAATCCCAATTGGAGCCGTGAACCTGTGTTTGGGAACCACTGCTCTAAACTGTATTTCACAAAGACTGCTTGAAAATTGTAAATTTAATAAAATCATTTAAAACTCTTTTCTTATCCCAAGGAGTTTTATTTTTATAATTTTCATCACTTATCAGCTTACTAGCCATTCAGACAGTTGGCCTATCCAATATTAGTACAGGAGGAAACCAAGGAAACCAGACTCTGTGAAACCTGTGATGTTTGATAAGGTCATACTGGATAACACTCTACTCACATGTGTCTAGGCCAAAACGGATTCGAAACCTTGATATATTGGTGAGAGATACGAGTTGTTGAAGGGCTGAAAAAGATTTCCAGAGGCAGATTGCTAGTGAGGTCAAGTCAAACCCAAAGGCTTTTTACCACTATGCAAAGTCAAAATTAAAAATGCGAGTAGGCATATCGGACCTGAAGCTTGCAGATATTAGTCATGCAGGTTCTGACCAGGATAAGGCAGAGGTGTCGAAACAAAAATTTCATCAATGTTCACAAGAGAGGGTGCGAACAATCTTCCGGCATTTAGGGAAAGACGGTTTGACAAAGCTGACCCACATTGTGTTCTCGGACGAGGTTAAAAGAAATAAAATGTCAAGAGTCCCGGTCCAGATATGGTACACCCCAGAGTGTTAAGAGAACTGTGTAATGAGCTTGCAGAGCCCCTAAAGATCCAGTTCTGCAAATGCCTGGATGAGCAAAAGGTCCCCGATGACTGAAAGATGGCTTATGTAATCGTCACTCCACGAATAATTATAGACCAGTGAGCCTGACCAGCATAATGCGTAGAGTACTAGATAGCATCGTAAGAGATGCCATAATGGAACATCTGCTAAGAAAAACATCCATGTAAAGGAATGCCAACACAGTTTTATGCCAGGAAGATCCTGCTTGACACAATTACTCAAGGTACTAAATGCTTGGACTCGAATTCTAGAACAAGGTGGAAATATCGACAATACAGTACTGTATTTACATAGATTTTGCCAAGGCTTTTGATGGCGTACCCCATGAAAGGCTGAGAATTAAACTGGAAGGGGAAGTGTCCTATCGTGGATCGGAGACTTTCTGCATGACCGCAAACAGTGTGTGGTGATTAATGGTACAAAATCGTCATGTGTACATGTGACTAGCAGGGTACCACAGGACAGTGTATTGGGCGCGTTGTTGTTTGTCTGTTTCATTAAAGACATGCCAGAAGCTATACACTCCTTCATACAAATGTTTGTGGATGGTGCCAAGTTATTTATGGAAATTAAGAACCAAACAGAATGTGAAGAGCTGCAGAAAGTTCTCTTAAGAGTTTCAAGAATGGTCGAGGAAATGGCTCCTAAGATTCAATGCCATGAAGTGCAAAAGGATGCACCTGGGTCGCACCAATAGTAAGGAGATATATCACATTTCCCAACAAGACAAAGGGACTGCATTAATTGAGACCGAATGTGAAAAGGACCTGGGTGTATATGTTGACATTGAACTTAAGTTTTCGGGCCATTGTGAGAAGAAGGTGGATCAGGTAACGAAACTAGTAGGTCTTATAAGGTCGTTAAGATACAGTATCTGGATGGTTCTTCGCTCGTTACGATCTTCAAGAGTGAAAGTGCTTCCCCGTCTGGTCCCCGAGGTATCCTAGAGACTGTCAATTGATTGAAAATGTCCAAAGGAAGGCCACCAGACTGGTGCCTTATCCGAAATCCTTGGGGCCAGATGTGTTTCGGATTTCGGAATTTTTCGGATTTCAGAATGGTTACTTTTTCTTTTTTTTTACAGGGTTCAGCCCACCAGGGCACAGGTCACCAACCCACATTGGGGTCTGGGGGGCGAAAACATTATTATTATTATTATTATTATTATTATTATTATTATTATTATTATTATTATTATTATTATTATTATTATTATTATTATTATTATTACTACTATAATAATAATAATACAGTTGGTCCTCATATTACGCGGTTAATGTAACCCGGAGGGTACCGCGGAAAGTGAGAAACGCGTAAAGTGAGAAACGCGTAAAGTGAATAACATAACATATGGGATTAATTGAAATGGAGTCCGGGCCGATCCCCAAACTCCACTTTTTGACGACACACAACTATGTTGTCGTAAAAATATTATCTTAACTTTATGATGGCATGCACACACAATTAATAATTAAGAGAAATATCAATAATATTAGGTTTTTTAACACTTACATTAGTAGAAAAGATGGCTGGGCACACGGGGATGGGCGGTTGGTTCCGAGGCAGAGGGCAGATTATTGGCCCTCACCTGTATCACTTGTATCAATTGTATCACTATCCACCACAGAGGCTTGCAGGGCCTCTTTGTCAAACCCCCCAAAGTTCATATAAGTCCATATCCTCACTATAATTATCACTATCACTGACTTGGGCCGGCTGTAGTGGGTGGCGGGTAAGAACTGGTCATGTTTTGATGACTGGGCGACCTTGTGCGCACCATTTTCGCGCCTCTTACACAACATAGCGGATGGCGGGAGGTTTGGATCCAAAAATGGCGCGGCTTGCCAGTCGCTCTCCGCGTAATGGGGTTCACGACCGCGGGACCGCGTAATATGAGGACCAACTGTATTAATAATAATAATATTAATAATAATAATAATAATAATAATAATAACAATAATAATAATAATAATAATAATACAGTAGGCTCTCGCCAATAACGACTTCCACAATAACGTTTTCGACAATAACGGTAAGTTACAATAGATACCCATTTTCGATAATAACGTCTGGATTCTCTTGAATAACAGAAATTTCGCGGGAAGCGTCTGAGCGCATCAATGATAGCATTTGTTTGCCGCCATGTTGATGACGTAGTTGTCCACTCCGCCTCACTCTCACTGTCACACACGCTCAGTGGAATACAGCGCTGCGCCCAAGTGTGAGATTTTCGCCACTATAACCAGTGGTTGTTAGGGTCGGTGATCAATAATGGCTTCTGCATTTTTGCTCCTGGGGGCTAGGGGAGGTGGTGGAGTGAGTGATTTGCCACCTGAATGACTGGGAACTTTTAAAGATAGGAAATTGAACTGTCCTGAGTCTACAGTGCGAAATATTAAGAGGAACTTAGAGGAGACCAAGAAGAGTATTGTGCTGGCTAAAAATATTTCGGTAGTGATGGAAATGCGAGGCGAGCTATGAATGATAAAGGCGATAGAAACAGGTTGTTAGTGATAACCGCATTTTCTTGTGAAATGGTTAGCTTGTAGAATGAAAGACAGTGCAAGTGTTAGCGGCCCACAGATACGGAACAATCATCACACCAAGCACCTCAAAAACTAAGTGTTATATTACTCAAACTCTTCATTTTGATGATTAATAGCAATTCTTTTTATTTCAGCTAACAAAGAGTGTTAGGAGGGCTTCAAGGGGAAAAATGGGTGAAATTCTTGTGGCAGCGGCACCAATAAACCCATTTTACATGTGGTCCCCGAGATATGCTAGGGACTGTCAGTTGGTTGAAAATGTTCAAAGGAGGGCCACCAAGCTGGTGCCTGCACTTCGGCATCTCAGCTACCCTGCGAGATTGGAGCGCCTGAACTTGCCTAGCTTATACTACAGACGGGCAAGGGGGGACCTAGTTGAGGTTTATAAGCATCTCAGGGGGCACTACTCAGTTGAGTGTCCTTACTTGGAGCTGGCGGACGCTCGCCCCACAAGGGGTCACAGCTCAAGATTGAAGAAGCCGCAAGTCCGGAAAACCGTGAGGGCAAACTTTTTCGGAGTGAGGGTTGTAAACTCTTGGAACAATCTACCAGAGAGTGTTGTGACGGCACCGAGTGTGAGCTCTTTCAGAGAAGACTTGACCAACACTGGAGCGGGTTCAGGTACATTCAGGAGCCGGTGCATGCCCAGTATTTGCCAACAGTGCGTGACAGAGACGTGACCGATCGCCCGGGCGGCTAGCGAGCCGACCTTTTGGTGAAGAATATAAAGGAAAAGAGTCGTGACCGATCGCCAAGCGGCTAACAAGCCGATCAGTGGCGAAGAGGATAAAAGTAAATAACGTTTTTGCTAATAACGGTGTTTTTCAGGCACCTATTAAACGTTATTGGTGAGAGCCTACTGTAATAATAATAATAATAATAATTCATAGGTCTAGGTGGTGTTTCTCAATTTTGATATTTTTTTCATTCTTGTATTTCTTTATTATTATTTTTTATTATTCTTATTTTATTATTATTCTTATTTTATTATTATTCTTATTCTACAATAATTATTATTATTATTGTTATCATTATTATTTTTTTTATTTTTAATTATAAATTGTATTTTCTATGAATTATTTACCTTTATCCTTTTCACCATTGATCGGCTCGTTAGCCGTTATTATTATTATTATTAATACACTTTCGCCCCCAGGCCCATGTGTGGGTCAGTGACCTGTGCCTGGGTGGGCTAATCCCTGTAAAAAAAAAAAAAAATAATAAATAAATGTTTTGTTCCACTAAAAACTTGCTGTTTTCAGAGGTTTTCGGTTTTTGGATAAGGGGTTGTCATCCTGCTATTGACAGTGTATCATTCAAAGATAGATGACAGAAGGAAGAGAGGATTAAAACCAATAGGGAAATGGCACAATGGAGTGAATGATGCATTACAAGTGAGAAGGAATGAAAATCCAAGAAGTAGGAATGTGTTTGACGAGAGGAGTGTCGAGTGATGCTTGGAGAAGGATGTGTAGCTGATAGGTGAAGCACAAGAAGTGCACTTGATTAGTGTGCGGAGTTGAGCCACTGGACGTCTGCTCTGGCCACGGTTATGTTATGTAAACTTTTAATAATAAGTTATAACCACTCAGGCCAGAACTTCCGGTGGCCCAATCGTTCTACATTCACCTTGGGGTCTTGGTGTGGAAGGGGAGTTTTTGAGTTTGTGTTTATTTCTGGCCACCCTGCATTAAGAATGAAAAGGCTTGGAAGTGTGTTAGTGTCTGGTGAGGAACATCTGATTAATTAGGGTCTACGTATGAAGAACTATTTACATTCAGGTCTGGTGGTGAATACTGTACCTTAGTGTGCTGGTCATCATCATAGAGATATGCGGCAGCTACAGCTCCAGCTCCACCAATGCCCACACCCAGCGCAATGATCCGCGCCATACTCCTGGTGCGGGACCCCGCCATCACCCACGCTGTAAGGATACATAAGCATTAATGATAAAACCTTTGGTAAAGTGCTAGATTGCCTGTATTACTTTAGATTTTTAAAAACAGCACAACAAACCATTGATCTTGAAATGTAAGCAAGTTGCTGGTTAATTAGCAAAGGGTCAAATTCAAAATTGCCTCTTGTGAATATCAAGATTCTTTCATGATCTGCTCGGTACTTTTTCAGTCTCTCAAATGCAGTTACTGCAGTATTGTACCCAAAAATGAGTGAGCGTAAAATGGTAACTTGGGTTTAAAATCATGGAGCGTTTCATCTAAATAGTGAGGATTTGAAGGCAAATGGCCCATAAAAATAATATAGGCCCACTAAAGATTTAGGATGAAGAACGTAATTAATTCATTGATTTTGGGCTGATAAAAGATGTTCCCTAAATCAGCATAAGACTACTGTACATTTATTTACCACACACTGGTGATTACTTAAAATAATTGGGGATTCACGCTCGCGCGCAGCCTTGAGCAATCTTGGAATGGTACAACAATACAATATGTACCACGGATCATCTCAGACCTTGAAAGATGACGCAATACTGTTATTGGTAACTGTATGAGTAAAATTTGTTAATACTGTTTAAGGGCCTGAACTTATGCACCCATATATACTTTTAAATTTTTTTCATATTATTAATTTTGCTTCCTGGTAGCGTACTAATATCAACATGTAAAGAGCATATTAAATATCACGAGGAAAAAATGCCGGAAATATCCAGAATTTACACAAGAAAATTTATCATGCTTTTATATTAAATTTCATTTGAAATGAATGCAGTATACAGAAGTTATGCGTCTTCAATATAATGAATCACTTCCGTTAAAGTTACACGTCAAACATACTTTAGTCCTTCCGCGGAATTTCACTTAATCTTGTCATGCGATATTACCTTCATGTCTTATTGCTGATAAGCAGGCACTCTTCAAACTTAAACCTGTAAGAGTAAAATTAAATTTTCCACCCAATCACTATACAGTTATGGTATCGACCCCAAATCCATATTTTATTTCCTTACCCAAAAAACCTCGTTTAAAGATCTTTCACTCACTACGAGACACCGGTGTTGCGTCATCGGAGCACGATACAACAAAAAACACACACCTACTGTACGGTCTCGCTGGTGTCGCCAACAACACACATTCCGGTCTACGTAGAAGTATTGCTGTGCTCTTAATAAATATTACACACACAAAGAAACGTATTTCATTCACTAAGACTCCCCAAGAGAGTTTATCAACCAACTCTGGACTCAGCCGGATACTAACAAAAACTGTTGCCACACACCCGCCTTCACCATCATACCTAGCGAGAATTGCTAAAGAGGTAGAGTTGCCAAATACTTGCTTTGTTCAACCATTATGCTGTAAACAAGGTCAAATCTGAGCTTTATTAATGTCTTTCATTTTGTAAAACAATAAATCCCTTTTCAATGAATTCACCAAACACGGGCGAATAATAATGTTAATAATAATAACAGACAGGTTCCAATGCCGCTTATCCACCGAAAATGCTGAGACCAGTAGAGCATACACAAACACACACACGCGTCCACCCCCGGGATGGAACACCCTCACGTGACCTTAGGGGTAAGATTAGGCCAGGTTATATGAGGTCAGGTCGTTAGATGCTAAGTCAGGTTAGCATTTTCCTCTGCATATATGAATTTCAATAATATTTTGTAAATCTTAAATATCAGTTATTGTCTATACTCTATAGTATAGACAATAACTTGCATGGCGATTTTAATGTCTATCAATCTATCTATCTACAAACCCAGTAGATCCTGGGTTCACACAGAGACTTAACTTCAATTTCTATATGAACAAAACGAATTAAAAAAAAACATGAACCCTGAAGTGACAAGTGATACCGAACCACCGAACCCTCGAACCCCAAGAGTTAACGAAGCAGTTTTTTTTAATGGGGATTAGCCCACCTAGACACAGCTCACTGACCCACATCGGGGCCTGGCTGGGGGGCGATGATAATAATGATGATAATAATGATAATAATAATAATAATAATAATAATAATAATAATAATAATAATAAATAAATTTTATAATAAAAAATACAAATTTGAAAATAAACCCCTAAAATAATAAAGATAACTAATAATAGTAATAATAATAATAATGCACCTAAATTTATTTAGTAATTTGTGATACTAATATTAATTATACTTATTATCCACATACAAGAAACTGCACATACAGTAAATATGCCCAGGCTTAAAATGTTAGTGTTGTAAATTGTAATGTATAATCACCAATATCTCCCAAATAAATGGGTTATTGTAATATAGTTTCATATACTGACAATAATAGCTAAAAACAATAAATATAAAATAAAGCATAATAAAAATCAGGTGTAACTCGTGCTAAATACGAATATTAACTTTAAATACTGTTTGTCTCTATTTTTCAAATACTATTGTTTTAGAATCCTTGGTTCAGTCAAGGTCTTCCCACCTGTGTGTGGGTGGATCTATGTACACGAGCAGTCGCATTTTGGGCCAGGTGTGGGTAGACTGGTTCGGTCAAAAAGTCTGAGATACAACGTAATTACTGCACAAGACGTCATTACCAACTTCTCAGGAGTTGCCTTATCATATACTGTATTAGTTTTTATATAAATAAAGAATAAATCCTTATAAATAGGATATAACGAAGATAAAAATTAATATATTTATTTAGTTTTAATAAGGAGGAGTAAGATTCTCTTTTACTTTGAGAACTTGGAGCTTTAAAGAAATTGATTTTTTGGGGCTATGTAGGAATTCCGACATTATTTTGTTGTGTCGTGAAAAGAACATAATATTAACTCACCTTCTGCCATAGTGCACTTGTATTTTAATAAAAATAAATAAATTAACTCTAATTGTAAAAAATATAGTTAAATCCAGAGAAACTTTCATAGGAATTAACGTTTAACAAAATCGACAAGAAAAAAAATCCATAGCTGTCAGCGTAGACCTTAACCTAAACATACACGGTCACTTTTTCCCCCCTGGACGGCTATGGTAGATAATTATAAGTATGGTAGACGGATGGCGTTACGGAAATGGATGACGGTACGGTAAGTGGTTAACGGTACGGTAAGTGGTTAAGGTATGATAGATGGTTGACGATTGTTTCAGAGTCTCATATCTTTTCATATGTTTCCTCTATTTACACATCTGCCTTAAGTCTTTACACATGTCTTATCTTTATACTTGTGTTGTGTATTTACACAGTTGTCTTGTGTCTTTATACATGAGCATCTATTTTATATATATATATATATATATATATATATATATATATATATATATATATATATATATATATATATTTATATATAATCAAACATAAACAAACAAACTCGGTCATATTCATATTCATGCACACCCTTAACCTTGGGGTGTCGCTGTACTTGGCACACTGTCTCTCGACGTGCTCTGTCAACCACAACACACCAATGTCTCCAAAACTCTCTCCATCATAAGTCATAGCATGTACAGCCGGATGACGAGTATCACTGTGTTAGTGTCTGACCGCATGGTCTTGTGACCAAGCTTGTCGCCCCCTGGGGTGTAATAAATTATTTAAATAATAACCAAGCATGATAATGAATAACCTCAGCGCCATCTTACTGCCACACTTCAATCATTTCGGACGCCTTTTTTACTTCTCTACGTAAAAGGGAAACTTTATGTAAGAACTTTCGGGAAAGATATTTTTGTCTTTTCCGCTCTTACGCATCTCGAATTTAATTCTTGAGACACCCTAAAATTCAATGCTTCGCGAAAGATTTAAATACAGTACTGCATAGACTCTGAACCCGGATTTGGACCCAAAGTTGCTTATTTACACCACAGGTTAAGTTAGCTTATGTTAGGGTGGGGAAGATTAAAAAAAAAGCTTAAGTTAAGTAAAATTAGACTTGGTTAAGCTTGATCAATCGTAGGTTTGGTTAGTGGTAGGTTATGTAAGTTTAAATTAGAGTAGACTAAGTTAAGATTATGAAAGGGGTAGGTGTGGTTCAGTTAGGGCTGGTTCAATTAAGTAAGGCGAGTGTAGCTCTAAGTTAGGTTATGTTTAAGGTACGGCAGACGGCCGAGTGGAAATAGCAATCTCTTGACCTACCGTCAGCCAGTTCGAGTTCCACGTTCGGCCCAGTCGACTTAGCTGCAGAATAGGTGATAACTTTACAGTTAGGGAGGTGCTAAGCATTACAGGCCACACAACATCTATGCACTGTATAACGAAAGATTTGCCCTCAGTGTACAGTGTTCACATAGCATGGGCTTATAGGGCCCATGCACTTTCACTTTTCAGGGTTAAGTTGAGTTTCATTTAGAGAAGGTTAAGCTAGATACCCGGGCGCTTTATGATTCACTTTACATAGGAATTAGCCAAGGTACAGTGGAACAGCCTATAAACAGGTAACACGCATTTTCATCACCAGTATTAAATGCTGTCACAAGATCTCACCAGAACCTAATATTCGCGCGCAAGGGCAAGACAAACCCGTTTTTTCTTGTTTATCACTGAAAAACACTTTTTTTTTTAAACAGAACAAGTTCCAATGTCATACAAAAATCTAAAAAATATAATCGAATTCCGAATAATGTAATAATAAACCGGTGAAGGGTGTACAGTATCTACCAACTGGGGACTCGCTTTAACGTTATTCAACATAGTTTATTTGTTGCCACCACCATGACCTCAAAATCGGGACTCACTGATTCCCTTAACTGTGATCTAGAACTAAACCAGACTTTTCCGACTGAGCAACGAATGTGATTAAAATTGGTAATGTCAGTAGTTTGGTTGCATAAGGCGTCTGTAAGGTCAGATTTAAGTTAGGAGTTGGTTTGGTTAAGTTATGTCAAGGGTAAGTTAGGTTTTGGGTTAAGTACGTTAGGCTGCTAAGTTAGGTTAGGCTAGGCGCAAACACATACGTTCCTCATCCGTATTGTTTCAAGTTCTGGCAAGAATTTCATGTCACAATACCTCGGAAAAAATAGGCACTGAAATGCACAGTAAATATCGAAACATTCACAAAAACATGTTCTCTTAGTCCAGAGCAAAGGAGGAGTGTACCGTATACTGTGTACGCCCGCGAGCACATGGCGTCGCACACCCCACTAAAAAAAAAAAAAAATCACCTTGAAACCCAGGTATTGAGTCACACTGACACTTACCTCCCTCACACACACACCATGTCTTAACCAGACACATCGTACAACACGAATTACACGATACAAATAAATTATCCATCTTTCCAGAAATAATTCACTATTATTTTTTTAATACTGTACAACAAAATAAAAGCCACAAATTCAATATTCTTTCTTCAGAACATAATATAAATTAATGTTGTATTACAGCTCAACTACTTAATCTTTTCTTCGTTGTATTATAACACAAGTACAGTTGGGGACTTTTCCGACTGGTACATTTCCCATTAAAATTTAATAAAGGCAAATGGTCACTGGTCAGGTACTCAGTTTGTCGATGAACGTTAGCAACACAGACACACGCACCTCCCCTGGGGTATACACACTATACCAGTGGTTCTTAACCTTTTTTGAGTCACGGACCCCTTTGAGAATCTGGTGAAAGCTATGGACCCCCTCCCTAGAAAAATGCACATAAGCACAACTTTGCATGCAATGAATATACTTTATTTTATTGAAAATTCATTGCCTCATACAGTGTATGACATACACAAAGTATGAATAAAGTAAACATTCTAGAAGTCAAAACCTGACGACGATGACGATTATATGTTACCTGACCGTGTACAGCAGCATCCCACGCCACCCTACAGATTTACTGGTTTTCTTCAGTAACCAAAAATACATACATAACATCTGGTATATATTGACAAAAATAGAACAACTTAATATAAAAATATAGTGAATATAAATGTTAAATTTTTATCTGACCTTCACGGAGCACCTGAAGCCCATCCATGGACCCCAGGTTAAGAACCCCTGCACTATACCCTTTCCATGCAAGCACGCCCCTCGTCTATAGCTACAAATAGCTGATTGGTTCCCCTGAGCGTGTAGTGGACGTCTCCCCTACAACTGCGTATCGCATTCCGACGCGCTGCCGTATCCTAGCTACCAAGCGAGAGCTGACACCAGATGGTACGGTAGCCTAGCAACGAAACTATTCACCGGCGACTTTCTGGGTTTTCCCAACATGATTCATAGAGGACTGGCGGCTGCTGCTGGGTATATAAGCTCTGTCTCTCCATTGAGATTCATTCTGCCCATCTTCCTGAACAAGCAACACCTCCTCCAGCAAGCTCCACGCTGTCAGCATTCATTCAACCAGGAGGCCAGCAACAGGCAACATCTTCTCTAACGAAGCTCCTGCACATCTACCTCCTTCAACACGCTACTCACCGAACGTCTCTACTGAGCAGCTCCTCACCACACGGCATCTCCAGCACCAGACTGTCTATCATATAACTTATATTATATAAGAAAACCACATTAGAGTTTCCTTCCATCCTGAGTGCTAGACAACATTAATATCTCGATACCCCTACAAGCGTTTTACCTCCCCCTGGACCACGGGCATAAGTGCTTATTCATATCGTTCAGATATTTAACATTACTTTAGATAATAGCAATTGTGAACACATTTAGTTTGAAATTTCTATGAACCAATCAGTTATTAGTATAGAATAGGGGCGTGGCTTACGGGCCAGGTTAGCGTGGAAATATTATAGTCACCCAAACCTAAGACACAGCCAGCGGTCCGACTAATTACACAAATGTACCCAAATGTAGCAAAATGTAGCCGCAATGAAGTCAAATGATGGTCGTACAAGCGTAAATCGGGCTGTGAATCACTTCTCGATTATTATTTGGTGTCAGTCACAAAAAATTGGTAAACTTAATTTAATCTGAGTTAATAGATGGCGTGCATGTACTGAGGGAGCGAGTAATTACCCAAATGTAGCAAAATGTAGCCGCAATGAAGTCAAATGATGGTCGTACAAGCGTAAATCGGGCTGTGAATCACTTCTCGATTATTATTTGGTGTCAGTCACAAAAAATTGGTAAACTTAATTTAATCTGAGTTGTGTTAGGTTAGGTACATGCACTCGATCTATTAACTCAGATTAAATTAAGTTGAACAATTTTTTGTGACTTCGTGACACCAAATACCAGTCGAGAAGTGATTGGCAGTCCGATTTATTCATGTAGGACCATTATTTGACTTCTTTGCAGCTACATTTGGGTACATTTGGGTAATTATTCGGACCCGCCAGCCAGGGCTCAGGGCGGAGGACTCACGGCCATATGTTAAAAGTGAATTGTGTGTCCCCAAAATCTTCTCAATACGAAAATCTTACGTATAATGTGTTTTTTTTATTACAAAATTGGTAATAAACAAAAATGGATCAGGAACCACACCGGCTCGCACAAACACCAGAACGTAACTACCTGTAGCACAATACCACCCTAATGTGCGGTAACACATTCTAAGCATAATTTGTTTTGCCCTACATACATAACCTTGCTTAATACGGTACGGTACGGAGTCATTAGTTATGAGGTGAAAGAAGATTATTAGAGGTTGAAGAAAAAGTGGTGAAACTGAAATACAGTAGGAGTAGAAAGAATCTGGGCTCAACCAGATCGCTTCATCTTTCCTATTGGTGTTTTATCTTTGTTCTGCTCCCTTGGGTCGTCAGACCTTTGTATTAATATTGGTTTATTTATATAGTGCTGCTTATTGTTATTATTATTAGTTTATATATATATACAGTATATATACTGCGACGGAGTTAGTGAGCCCGCCCAGGTCCCTGTGTGGCTGGGTCTTAATAACATAAAAGGAAGCGAACTATAGCTGGTGATTTACTCCTTAAACTTCCACTTCCATCACCAAAATCTTTTCTAAATGTCCTAACAATCCACGACCATAGTCGTTATACTGTAAATTTAAAGTCATAGCCATACGAGATTTCACAAACAAGACAACCAAAGTTAGTACATGGTGTCATCGAGCTGCTGCTTTGCCTCAAACATGCCTGAGGGCTGAGTAGTGATCAAACATGCCTGAGGGCTGAGTAGTGATCAAACATGCCTGAGGGCTGAGTAGTGATCAAACATGCCTGAGGGCTGAGTAGTGACCAACCCTTCGGGATAAAATATGAAAGGAGGCAGACGAGCCATGACAAGCTTACGTGTATTTTCTTACAGAATCAGCTTTTTTACACCTGTTTGGCTTACATGTTTCCTTCATTTTCGTCATACCTTAAAGATTTGTATTTATTAAACTGACATCTTCACTCATGCCTGTTGACTAACTTAGAGGACTAGGTTTCACAATTGAAACACTCGAACTCATCCTATGAATAAGATAAGTATAATAAGCTCCACAAACCTGATAAAATTTAAGGCTCATAAATATTTTATTAAGAATATTTTTCAGCGTATTAGAGGAAAAAATAAATTCTCAATGACAACTAACGCATCCCAAAGAATTTTAACTCCTGTAGAACATAACTCTAGCATAGCAGCAAACAAATTTTGTTTAGTAATAAAACAAATAAGTTATATGAAGATGAGACAATACCGGCTGTGGATATTACACACCAAAGGTCCACAACCCTGACAATAATGATAGTAATCATCATCTTGACACACACACACACACACACACTGCCTAATAGCAATAACTTCTGTGTATTTTTTAACTTCTGACTGGCCATAGACATTCAAGAGATCATCATACGAATTGTTTCATAGAAAATCAAACCAAGTCAAACCTTACCTAACTTTACCTTAACCTTACCTAACTTACTTTAGGTATAACTTGGTTATCAATTTCAATTGTTTATTCCTTCTTGGTTATCTTATGACGGTGTGCAGAACCTTTAATAAAACCGTAAATTTATCATATATGAATTAATTTCTATTATATGGTAGCAATAACAAAAAAAAAATGTTATCCCTAATTGGCACAAACTGTCAGTTGCTTTTTAAAGCTTAATCGGTGAAAAATCATCAACAACTTACCTATTTCACAACAAGTAACTCCTCCACAGTAATAAGTGAGATGAAAGTTTCCAGGAAAAATACCACAGATTAGGAAAAGATCTTTCCTACGTTATTACTCGCTGTTTACACTACACCAACAAACACACGGTACGTCACCACGGCCAAGGGTTAGGACTGTTTTTAGTCCTTGACAGCAACTACCATTTTGTACACCACGATACCAATACATCAAACAGCAGCACAATAGACGATGGATATCACCTGTGAAAGCCAAGAGACTGACTAAGTCTATTCACTAGCTGGTAGCTGCGAGATGTTAGCGGCCAGCCTGCCTCAGTTACCACACACCGCGATTGTTCTCATTTCACCTTTTTTAAGTCACGAAAACGTTACAATAATCGGAACAAGAATGTGTTGGAGTTTGAGAACAAATTCCTTTTTTATTTATTGGTATTTCAACTGTAAAGTTAACACTTTCCGATATATATATATATATATATATATATATATATATATATATATATATATATATATATATATATATATATATATATATATATAATAACCACAAGGAAAGAAGAAAACACGAAGTTCCCAAGCGCTTTCGTGTAATTCACATCTTCAGGGGTGAGTACAGACTAGAGAGAGTAATACAAATCAAGGTGTATATATACAGAGGAGGGTGGAGATTCAGGTATATATACGCAGCAGTTTATGTACTCTCTGACACTGAATTTCACCTACAATTGATTTACTTACATATATATATATATATATATATATATATATATATATATATATATATATATATATATATATATATATATATAATATGTATTTAAATAGAGTAGCTACAATGTTTAAATAAACTATTGACATAATAATATGTTAGCTGCCAGTGGCAGCTGTTGTCAACAAACAACAGATAACAGTATCCTGTGACAGAGGATGTTATCTGTTCCCTTCTACATGAAGGGTATTCTTGGGGTAACAACTATTTGAGGGACTTACCATACAAAGTAATAGTCACGTATCACAATATCATGACTTTAAATGATTCTTTTACATTACAACTTGAAATTTTGATAAATATCCAGAAACCGTCACTTGGTGTTTATATACAGTATATATATATATATATATATATATATATATATATATATATATATATATATATATATATATATATACCATTACAGTCCATATATAACAGGCCGACTTTGAACATATAATCAACGACCTCCCTTAGCCAGCCAGGAATCGAACCCTCGACCCAGTAGGTCGAGGGTTTGATCCTAACTTTAATATATATATATATATATATATATATATATATATATATATATACATATATATATATATATATATATATATATATATATATATTATACATATGTATTATACTGGAAAAATCAATGTAAACAATAATCATGGCTTCCTGCCTGGATGGTTTGAGATTATATGATAAATAACATTACCTAAATCAAGGTAAATATCAGGAAAAATATGCAGGTCAGCCCAGTCGCTATGCATTGGCACCCCTACTATCTAGTGGCCGAAGATTGAATCATTTGACTGCAGCGAGTTCTGATTTAACCCCTCTGATTTTCCAATCCTATACAGAGTAAACAATGCAGGAATAATAGCATGTCGTTCTGTTAGGCTATGGATACCATTTTCCAACCAGGGTCCCTGGTGCGCCCCTCCCCAAAAAAGCAGGGCCCCAGGTGCCCCCCCACCTCCTTAATCAGGTCCTGGGCACAGTGGGTTGGCAGCGAAACAATTCACGTGATCCCTCGCTAGCGGCCTGCCAACAACCCGTAACATGCCTCGATACAGACACTCAGGTCCTCCCTACACACTACCAAATGTTTCATTCTTTCAATGATGTATATTAAAAAAAAAGTAAAAGACTGAATTTACCATAAGTAGTGTAATGTATCTCCCTTTCAGTGAGTCGTAAGCAGGGATGACCCGAAGTGGTTGTGATTAGACGGGGGGGGGGGAATTTTTTTTTGCCAAATCACCACTCAGCCTATCAAATTTGACCATCTAATGAGGATTAGAAGAAAAATGACCACGCAAACTAAAAAAAAATCTTTATTGAATGTTTAATTATTAAACAGCATAGAAATTTGAAGAAAATAAGTAAATACTTTTCATTTACTGCTTGGATAAAATCAGCAGCATTAACCTATTCATAGAAATTAAACTTAAATTTTATTTCTCCTAGTTTTCTTAAGCTTCCATTTATATGCAATCTTTTGAAGATCTAACCGATCAGTTATGCAATTTTCACAGCTAGGAGCATAAGATTATGCAACCGTTTTTATGAGGTTCTGTTTCACAGGGATGTTTTCAAAAGCTTAAGCCTGCTAAAAGACCTTTCACTTTTACATACTGAAGGTGCTGCTGTCAAGAATTGCCAGAAAACTTTTGCCACGCGAGGAAATAAATGATACTTTCTATGAGCATTCAGTGCACATTCTGCAGCTGAGCGAATGTTTTTTTCTACATCAGGATGCTGCTCCACATATTCAGAAAACTTTTACTTTTACTTTTTACTTTTATCCTCTTCACCACTGATCGGCTCGTTAGCCTCTTGAACGATCGGTCACGTCTCTGTTACGCACTGTTGGCAAGTACTGGGCATGCACTGGCTTCTGAATGTATTTGAACCTGCTCCAGTGTTGGTCAAGTCTGGTTTTAAAAGAGCTCACACTCGGTGCCGTCACAACACTCTCTGGCAGGTTGTTCCAAGAGGTCACAATTCTCACTCCGAAAAAGTTTGCCCTCAAAGTTTTCTGGACTAGCAGCTTCTTCAACCTTGAGCTGTGACCTCTTGTGGGGCGAGCGTCCGCCAGCTCCAGGTAAAGACACTTATATACTACAGACGGGTAAGGGTCTCCCCTTACCCGTCTGTAGTATATAAGCTAGGCAATTACAGGCGTTCTAATCTCTCAGGGTAGTTGAGGTGCCGAAGTGCAGGCACCAGTCTGGTGGCCCTCCTTTGGACATTTTCAATCAACAGACAGTCCCTAGCAAATCTCGGGAACCAGACAGTACTCCAGGTGGGGAAGCACCTCGCTCTTGAAGATCGTTACGATATCAAAACAACCTTCTTATAAGACTTAATAATTTAGTTGCTTGGTTCACCTTCTCACAATGGCCCGAGAACTTCAGTTCATTGTCAACATACACACCTAGGTCTTTTTAACATTCAGTCTTAATTAATGCAGTTTCTTTCGTCTTGTGGGGACATATATTACGCCTCCTTACCGTTGGTATATGTCCCAGGTGCATCCTCTTACACTTCGTGACATTGAATCTTAGCAACCATTTCTTCGGCCATTCTTAAGCTTACAGAGATCCTGCAGCTCTTCACAGTCTGCTTGGTTCTTGATTTCCATAAATAACTTGGCATCATCCGCAAACATTTGTATGGAGGAATGTACAGCATCAGGAGGGCCCAATGCACTGCCCTGTGGTATCCCGCTTGCCACGGGCACACGTGACGATTTCGTGCCAAAATCACCACACACTGCTTGCAGTCATGGAGAAAGTCTCCGATTCACGATAGGACACTTTCTTGAATTCAGTACCCTTCCAGTTTAATTTTCAGCCTTTCATGAGGTACGCTGTCGAAAACCTTGGCAAATTCTATGTATATATTGTCAATAATATCACCCTGTTCCAGAGTTTGGGTCCAAACATCCAGTATGTATATATTGTCAAAATTTTCACCTTGTTCCAGAATTTGGGTCCAAACATCCAGTATTTGAGTAATTATGTTAAGCAGGAGCGTCCAGGCATAAAACCGTGTTGGCGATCATTTACAAGGTTGTTTCGTAGTAGATATTGAACACTTCTAATTCAACTCGGAAAGCTTTAGTGTCAGGTATTTCATATGGATAGGTTTCATGGCTTCAATAAAGGTTTCTGAGTCATAGTTTGCAACATTAGGATCAAGAACATCCGCAAAATATTTGAATAAAGATTTCAGATTTTCACATTTTGATGTCAACGCAGAAATAATCATATATAAAACTGCATTCATTTCCTTACAATAATAGGAATACAAATTATACTGAGCACTAGATTATCATCAATTTTGGGGGCTGTTTCTTTTGACGGTGAACTCTCTTGAACTCTTCTTCTCCATCAACTTCAATATTTTTTGCAAAGTTGAGTGCAGCCTCCAGCAAATGTTTCTGAGGCTCATCATCACAACATATTCACAGAAGTATTTTCAATGTACTTTTATTACAGATAAGAGCTTCAGAAATATTTGAAACCTCCGTTTGCAACACATCTACCATTTGCTTAGTTTTGTACATAACATTTTTCATAAACAACAAAGCAACAATTAAATCAAAAGTCTTAATTTTGTAGAGGAGACCATTAGCTTTTGTCCTTACTCGTGAATCATATTTCTTTTTGGCATTTCTGATTTCTTCCAAAACTTCACATATCTCTTCATAAAATTTCCAAAAGGCATCCACTGACTCTGGTTTGGCACTGCATCTTGTCTTTGACAGATTTTTTAATTCCAATGCACCTTCAATTTGTGTCAACTATTCCTTAAGAGCTGCATGACGACTGGTGCTACTGCAAAAAAATACACAGCCAGATTCCAGTACATCATACATATGTGTAATTAGTTCACTTACATTGCAGTCATGCTCAATCACTAAATTAGAGCCATGAGATAGACAGGGCATGTAAGTGATTGGTCTCTCAAGCATATCAGATAATTTCTTTTGAGCACCATTGTACTGTCCAGAAATTGTTACTGCACTATCATAGGTTTGAACCTAATGGTATGTGTGTCAATTTTACTTTCTGAAACAGATTTTCATAGTTCACTAATTCACGTTCATATTTCTGTATTTCTTTCTTTATCTTACGTCTAGCATCATCATAAAAATTTAAAACGCGATCACTGTGTTACCTCTTGCTACCAGTGTGTGTGCGTGTCCTTTCTTGACCATCTCCCTGAATTTTGAGATCATAGTGAACAACTTTTGGCAACTTGACCAACTCGAGACCAATTATTGGGGGGGTTGATCCCCCCACCCAGTCGGGACATCCCTGTCGTAAGAAATTATCAAAGAAGGATTACAGTAATCTTCGGGAGGTTAGGAATGTCAAAGAAACGACGTTCAATGTACAGTATTATCTTTGGTATCTCGCCTTTTCTAATGCGTAACTTCTTTTTGTGCAGCTTGGCTAGACTTTACAGTAGATATCCAATGTATTATGATAGATGTTGT